CGATACCGAAAGTGGCAATGAGTCAGAGGAAAGTGACAACGAGCCTGCTGCAAGAAACAATCTTAATCCACGGGGGCGAAGAGGGCAACCTGAACCACATCAAAATCAGCCTGCTTTACAGTGGACTCCTGCCAACATGGAAAGACCACGTGCATTTCCTTTCACTGGCAACAGTGGAATTCAGGTGCGCACAGTTGGATTTGGGCCAATTGATTACTTTTCCCTGTTTATCAATCAGGATCTCATAAATTGTTTTGTAACTGAGACAAATCGTTTTGCTGAGCAATTTATGTCTGGTGAGGATATATCGAGGAGGTCTCGTGCAAATTCATGGCATCCTACGGACCCACGTGAAATGAAACAATTTCTAGGACTGTTGTTTCTAACAGGAATCATAAGAAAACCAGCAATCAACTTGTACTGGTCTACAGACCCACTGTATTCCACCCCTTTGTTTGGTGCTATCATGAGCAGGAATAGATTTCAGTTGTTGTTGAAGTTCTTACATTTCAATGATAATGCAGAAATGCCTGGGGCAGACGACCCTTCCCCAGACAAACTTTTCAAGGTACGCCCACTGGTGGATCATCTATGTGAGAAATTTGGTGAGGTTTATACACCGTCATCTAATATCTCAATTGATGAATCTCTGCTATTGTGGAAAGGACGCCTTGGTTTCAAACAGTATATTCCTCTAAAGAGGGCCAGATTTGGAATAAAATGTTTCATGTTATGCGAGGACTCTGGGTACACCTTCAAGTTCAAAATTTACACGGGAAGAGAGAATGTCCCCCCACATGCAGGTGCACTTTCAGTCTCAGAGAGAGTTGTGGCTGACCTCATTGAACCTTTGCTTGACAAAGGCTATCATTTATATATTGACAACTGGTACACCAGCATACCACTGTTGAAATTTCTTTTCAATCACAGCACGCTGGCATGTGGAACAATACGAAGTAATCGTAAGGGATTCTCTGATCCCGTGAAAAAAGCGAAATTGAAGAAAGGTCAAGTCAAAGCTTACAGAAGCAGTGAACTTCTTGCCATGAAGTTCAAAGACAAGAGAGATGTGCTAATGCTAACAACAATTCACAATGAGGAAATGGTTCCAGGACAAAGACTTGCAGCCCACCACAAACCAAGATGCATTGCAGACTATAATAAATATATGGGCGGAGTGGACCGTACTGATCAGCTGATGCAGCCATATGACATGGCAAGAAAATCCCTCAAATGGTACAAGAAACTGGCATGTCATTTTCTGCAGCTTGCCATGCTAAATAGTTTTCTAGTTTACAAGAAAGATCGTGGCCGAAAGCGCTTTTTGGAATTTCAGCATGATGTGATTTCAATGCTTCTCTTTGGTACAGAAAATGACCAGCCTGACATTCCGAGGAAGGAAAATGTTGTAAGACTTACAGAAAGGCACTTTTTGGAGCAAATCTCACCAACAGCAAACAAGAGAAAAGTTCAGAAGAGGTGCAGAGTCTGTTATAAGAAGGATATACGGAAGGAAACCTACTATTACTGCCTAAGTTGTCCATCGCAGCCCGGATTGTGCTACTACCCTCGCTTCAAACTTTACCACACAAAGTTTGTGTATTGGGCCAACACTTGAAAGACAAAAAAGACACACATGAAAAAAT